AAGGGAATTCCTTTAATTAATTCATCAATCTAAAAGACAAATATATCCAAATATAAGTCAAGTATTAAATTAAGTCTAAGGCATCTAGCATATTGTTTAATTGGACACAGTAGAAAGGACTTACCTCTTCAACTGAACGCGATATTTCTTCGATTCATTCATCCGCGTTGATTTGCATCAGCTGCATGAATAGTTTGATGAAAATCGTCCTCCGTCAGAATTGGAAGAATTTTGTTTTCTGAATCGTATGCTGAACTTGTCGAAGCCATGCCCAGAATAACATTGCGTTATTTGATTTGTTTAAATAAAAAAATCGTTTTTCTGTAATACTAAGCCCTAGTAATTTCCAAATTCGATGCACCCGTATTGTCACGTGGCGCACCTTTCCAACATATTTAATTAATTAGCTTGCAAAGCTTTGAAGTTTGCCGACCTTCCAAACCTTCTCCTCTATTAACTATGGTATTTCCTAACCGGTGACACGGTGTGGTTTCCACCACGTGATACACAAAAATAAATCCTTATATAGTTTCAAACACCAGTTTACACGACATATATAACCACACCAAAGCACCTCATACGACAGGGAACGTTTAGCGTTCATTTCGAGATTTTCAAGACATTCCAGTTTACAAGTATGGCGGGTAAGTGCAGATTCGACTGATTTTTAAAATCTTTTTTATGTATATTGACTCTAATTTCACTCATTAAGTTAGTACTATAGTTGACCATTCGTTCATTTGTTCACTCAAACATATATTTATGATTCACTAACAGTGGTATATTGCTATCATTTCCCTAATCTTGTTGTATTAGGATAAGTTGGTTTTTAAGAAGAAATGAAAATTATTTTGAAATGCATTCTGTCTTCGAAAGTATAATAGCTATTTTCTCATAATTTGTATTTTTCCAATTGTTGCATGCATAAAACATAGGTTGACTATTTAACTGTGATTAAATATGATTTTTGACTAAATTTTAATATTGCAATAAATTGGCATACCAAAGCCGGCAAAGAATCAATCGAGACTGCCTATTTTGCATAACAGACATGAGTATACGTATAGACATGCACAGCCCCCACAATTAAGCCAATGGGATATATCAAGTCTGCGCATTATAACACCGTTTTGTATGCAACAACAAATTAAAGTATGCCTGACTGTCTTTATGTTGCCTGTCTCAAATGGCAGATAAGGAAGTTTAATTTAATGACAAAATGATCAATATGTTCTTCGAATTCAAGTGTTCCTCAGGTCGGTGTGAAAATGAGAATTGTTCAAGCTAATGAGAATTGGCTTAACCAAATAGCTAATCAAAATGCCGACATCATGTCATTTCTCACTTGTGGCAAAAGCCGACGTATGACCAATCAAAACGATTATACGCTTCGTCCGTCGTGAAACACGAATACACGATTTTTATTTCACCCATGTACTGTACGTAAACCTCTATACAGACTATACGTGTGTAATAATGATAAATCTTGCTCGATCTTCTTGCTAAGGCAAGTGTTCCTCGGGCAGGTGTGAAATGAGAATTGTTTAAGCAATGCCGATGAATAATAAAACGCATAAAGAGTGGGTGTTTATCTGATGATACAAATGAATGCATATAATATTAGTAATCAAATTTACCAATTATAATTTGAATGATATGGATCCTTTTTAGTCAAGAAAATCGAAAGTTTATGTAAGCCAAGTATATCCGATACAGCTATCGATTAAACAGTCATTAATTTCTTCTAATTTGTTTTTATGATTGATTAAGAATATTTTATAGAAAGATTAATTAATCCAATTTTCCCCCATTTCCAAAGGCCTACGGAGTCACCCTTATATAAAAAAAAGCTTCCGAGTGAGGGCTAAGTGCATACTCGTAAATGTCAAAGTAAGCTTGAATTTCTCGTGATGTTTGCTTATTGATCGGCCACGCATTTTTTCTATGGATCATTATACCCCATTTTGTATGTTAAAACAATTAAAGTATATGCTTGACTGTATTTATATGTCGCTTGTCTCAATATAGAGATCACATAGTTGGTGATGGTGTACGATTTTTACCCACAAGTTGTGAAAGATTGCAAACAAACGAGTGAGCGAAGCGAACGAATGAGTTTAGCAATCTTTCACAACAAGTTCATAATGAAAATCGTACAATCGAACCAACCGTACAGTAATTTGTTCATTATATTCGTCTTGAGATGAATATTTAAAACTCATGAAAGGCTCATAGCGAACAACACTTCAAACAGTTTATATTTGTACAGTTTATATTTTATCATTATTTGGCTTGCTCTTCTCATTTCATTTGCAATTACCTGTTAAGATTCATTTGTTTTTGTTGCAAAATTGTCGGGGTTTTTTTTTAATTAAAATATACTAGAAAATACATGCATGCAGAAACTCTTCGCCTTGCTGGCAAAACGATTGTATTTTCCAAACATGAAGTATTTAAATTACTTGTCATGGTAACACGATAATTTTGTTAAGAATATTTTTACAAATGAAAAATCCCCAAAAATATCACTTTTAATTACAAATGAAAGTTATCAATTCCCCAAACATAAAAATATTTGGTATGTTATTATACGTAATATAAGCTTCAATTTAAGGTAAATTAAATTCAACCTCAAACGCTTAGCAAGACACTTTGAAATGTTCTTTATAAAACTAAACTGCCTTTGTCAAAAAGCTTTGAGTCTGAAATAAAATGATTTCGAATTCTCGCATTCCGCAAATAACTTTGCTGTCTTTTTTATTAAATATACCAAACAATCAGCTTTTAAAGAATTATAAAGCAAACAATACATCAATATATAAAACCAACTTACCTTCGTTAACGTCAACGCCTTTACTCATTCTTAATTTTGGCAATTCTTTTCGCCTTTATTTTCTTAAAAAAAGCTTTTGAAATTTACAAAATCTTGCAAAAATGAAATATATTTGGCAAGAAATCGTCAAATTAAGAAACGTTTGCTATTTCGCTGTCGTCATGTAGTCGTAATAATGCAAATTTTAAATCTGACCAATCAGTGTTCGCTGTTCATGACAGTCCGCCATATTTTTGAGATCAGTGAGGATGACCACCCACCGAAACACGCACGCTCACCCACTCCCGCGATCATTGATGAACTTTAGACTTTCCTAATGCTTTCGTTTCTCCTGGTGTAAATAGCCGGACGGAATTAGTACCCTGGCCAAGGGCTTTACGTTGGCTCTGGGACAAAATGTATTTTCGCGCCAAAAGCGGGCGCCATGTTTATATTTAAAATGGGAGAGCAAAATGCCCGTACAACATTTTCTCACTAGTGGCTTAACCCGTATAGCCAATCAAAATGCCGATATCATCATTTCTCACTAGTGGCAAAAACCGTATGACCAATCAAAAAATTTATACGCTTCATCCGTCGTGAAATACGATGTTTATTTCACCCATCTGCTGTACGTAAACCTCTATAAGTATATAATAATGATAGATCTTCCTCGACCTTCTTGCTAAGGCAAGTTTCGTCCATATCAGGCCGGTGTGAAATGAGAATTGTTTAAGCAATGCCAATGAATAATATAACGCATGAAGAGTAGGCCGTGGGCTGTTGTGCGAAAAATTAAAGTGCCTAGAAAAGCAATTTCGTGGCACCCTCCTGGGAAATAGATTTTCTGTGGTTCAATTCATAGAACCATAGATGCTTAATTACCACAAAAAGTTCGCAAGCAAAAAACTTGCCCAACTCCGAGAAAATGGGTGATCAGTGATTATCCTCTAATAAATTGTATTACAGCAAACAAATGTAAAATTTTGTATTCAATTACAACAAAAATGACTTACATTATCAGAAAGCTTAGAAAAACCTACATATAAGACATTTAAACAGTTTTTTTTATATCTAAAATTGTTTTGGAGTTATACGCAGTCAAAAACGCGTTTTTGACCCAGTACCCAGTCCTTATTGCGACATTTTGGTCCAATTTTCACATTTAAAACAGCAATAACTCAAAGACTATTTGAAAAATCAAAAAACTGTTTAAAAGTCTTATATGCGGTTTTTATACGTTTTCCGATAATGCAAGTCAATTTTTATTGTAATTGAATACAGAATTTCCCATTTTTTTGCTGTAATACAATTTAATAGAGGATAATCATTGATCACCCATTTTCTCGGCATTGGGCAACTTTTTTGGTTGGGAACTTTTTTTGGTAGTGATGTACCTATATGCCTTTCAAATAAACCCCAAACCAAGCATTTCCCACATGGGTGCCACGAAGCGAAATAATTTTGGCCAACAGCCCACGGCCTAGAGTGGGTGTTTATCGGATGATACAAATGAATGCATATAATTATTAGTAATCTTATTTACCAATTATGGATCGTTTTAGCCGAGAAAATCGAAATTTTATGTAAATCAGGTGTACCTGATACAGTCATTGATTAAACACTAATTTCTTTCCAATTTTCTTCATGATTGATTAAGGATATTTTATAGAAAGATTAACTAATTTGCCAATTTCCCTTCGTTCCAAAGGCCTTTGAGTAAACGAAGTTTCCGAGTGAGGAAGAACAATGCTAAGTACATACTTGTACATGTCAAAGCAAACTTGAATTTCTCGTGATGTTTGCTTATTGAACGACCACGCATTTCTAGTTCTTTTCTTGACTATTTTTCTTTTCAAACGTATGAACAGTATACAAAGTAGTCAAGTAGTTGAATTTCGTGTCAATAGATATATAAGCATTTAACTGTTGGACAGATAAGATCAATTTTACGACACTGGTTGTTTAATATCTGCTGAGTGATTGTACCACGTGTACACTAATTAATGTTTATTAAACTTTAAATCAAATAAATAATACAGGATGTAGGTTTTGATAATATCGTAGTGCTGAATTGTGTTTGATAAATTGGAAGATTGGATAAAAATAATTTTTTCATCCATGTTCTTCAGATATCAAGATTTTAAATTTGAAACGCGTTGGGCTGAACAATTTGCTATGGTTCATCATGCTAGCAGTTGTAGAATCTAGTACGGAAATAACAGGTAATTAATTGCAATCGAACCTTTAGCTTTTTACATGTACGGTTTATTCAGGTATTATAATACATGAAAGAATTTGAACCAATGAATAGATAAATCTGTAGTTTAATTAAGTTTTACTCAGCACTAGTGTGTAACAGATGATGGCAACCAGCCTATTCATTATATGTAGTAGTTTTGTATCTAGAAGAAAATAAAGAAATATAGTTTACTCAAACCTACCAATACCTGATTCTTTGGTTCTAGGTCCACAAAGAGAAGTGATATCAATATACGATGATCATTTTGCCACCCCGCTATCCAGACCTGAATATTTCATCGACGTTTATCGCTGTGTTGAAGTTGATGTGGGCGAATGTTATAGTGGACAGTTTGGGTACCCGGTACCAAAAACAACGGAAGAAATTGAGATAGTGGTTCCGGACATAACAAACAAAGATCGGGATTCTAGCAGTAAAAAGAAGTTTTATAAATATGTGGTTTATAATCACACATCTTGTACATGTGGGACCTTTACGTACAGGGAGAGTACACTGTATAAAAACATAACTAATAACGAAGGTTAGTTCAGCTTACAGTGAGTAAATTCCATGCAATTACCTAAAATGAACATGTTCTGTGATTCACTTTCTTTCGTCCTTCAGAAAATTTGTTTTGTAGTTTTATTGTTATAGTCAACCTTATCATATAAGTTGATGACAATATAACCAGGGGAACATTGGAACTCTCCTCTCATCACTGAGTTAAACATGCTATACTGAATATCAAAGCGGTTAGGGTATTGTTACTTGATGCGCTTGAAAACTCGTGTAAAGCCCGTCTTCCACTGGGCGAATTTGTTCGCGCGAAGCGATTTTGACGGCATCGCTCTTGTTGACAGCATGGGATAAACCAGCTGCGCGCGAACAAATTCGCCCAGTGGGAAACGGGCTGTGCTTGGTTTTCTCCAGTACACATCGAGGGATATGCTCCGGGATTTAATTCAGGTCCCAGCTGCAAGGAAAGGTGATTATTACACTGCAACTTTGGTCTGTATGAATTTTCTTGCAGTTTCAGAAGCTGATTACAAAGCGAACTGCACGAAAAATCCAGTGAATCTGATACGTGTGTGTAATGTTTGCGACAGCGCTCAGCCAAGATATAAACTCCATCCAAACCATTTCGACGCTGTAGTAGCATTTAAATATCTGGCGTACCAACAGTGCTTGCCTGGCTGCGTAGTGGTAAAAAACGAGACGTCTAATAAGCAAACTAGCTTGATGTCTGGTCGTTCCGTTAGTGTCCCGCGTACAAGTGATATTTTATGCAAGGCTTATGATGGAGCTAAAACACAAGGTAAAAATCGTCCACAGAAGCTCAAAAGCTCATCCTCAGAAGCTCCAGTTGGAAACTCGAGTGATCAAGGTAAGAAATTAAGGGTCTGATTTCTACTAGACACGAATGATCCGTCCCGATGATTTTTGGAAAAGAGAAGATAGTTCGTCTGATAATTGAACTCCCAACAAACACACCGATCACCCGTCAAAACAATCTTTGCTGCTACCAACCCAGGAAAGAGGCATAATATGCTGGGTTTATTAGAGAGAGAGAAGCTTATTAGAGAGGAAACTTAATAGAGAAGGGAATTAATAGAGAAGAGACTCAGAGGAGAGGGGGTTTATAAGAGAGAGGAAGTATTAGAGAGGGGCGTATTAGATAAGGGACATAATTAATAGAGAGGGGGCTTATTAGACAGGGAACTTATTAGAGAGGGAGATCATTAGAGATGGGACCTATGAGAGGGGGCATATTATAGAGACGGATTACTAAGAACGAGGCTGTTTAGAGAGGAGGCTTATTACAGAGGCGAATTGATAGAGTGTACGAGGATTTAGGAAATAGAGATTTGACGAATTAACCGGAATTATTATGTTTCTGTTTAGAACCAAATTATGAGATTCTAGTTTACATTGCTTCAGGCAAAGTTATCCTCGCCGCCGTTCTACTGTCATTGGTGCTATTTACTATATTAATTATGGACTTTACACTTTGCCGTCGAAAGAAAGGATTTCTTTACGCTTTGATTAGCTGTAAAAGTAATGACGCGGATAATTTTTGTCAACGTTGCAGCGAAAGGAATATAAGAAATGAGATTACTGTGTAAAACTTAAGTAAGTACGAAGACGTAGTTCACTCATTTAGTTCATTTTATAGTCATTAACGTTAGCTTCGGATGATTAGACTCGCTTCAAGCTTCGCTCTTCATTTTTGATAGCTTGTTATGGTATCAGTCGTTCGTTCAGACACATGCTCTGGTCCCATAATTAACTGGATAGACCCGGTTGAAAATCAAACTGATTGCATAATAGACTGGATAGATCCAATTGAAATTGAAACTAAACTAATAAGTGATTGGATAGACCCAATTGAAACTGATCCCAAAACAACCACGCAGGGTATCATGACTGAATAAACCGTATCAAAATTGAATTGGAGAGAGACTTGGAACAAGTCTAGCTCATGATAAGCGCAACGTTAATTTGAATTGAACATAAAAGGTTTGTGATAATTTTATGAGCATGTTCTATGATTGACTTGCTGAAATACGAGTGATAAATGTTTGTGATTTGTTCGTTAAAAAATGTATTCTTTAGTTTTATTGTGTTTCATTGTTACTTGTAAACCAACCACAGAACTTGTTCATGTTGTTGAGTAAAATTTTGTATGGATGCATTAATGATTGATTAATTAATTGGAAACATTTTTTTAATAATTAACAATTATTCGCTGAAGGCGAGGTGATTATCGGTGAATAAAAACCGAGACGAAGTCGAGGTTTTTATTCACGATAATCACCGAGCCTGAGGTGAATAATTGTTTTAGTATAATTTCATGGGTGATTATTTAGGAAAAATTAAAAAAATGCACATTTCTTCGTCTTTTAATTGACAAAACGTCTTCGGCCGCCATTTTGAAAATCGCTTAGGTGATTATCGCGTAATAATCACCTCAACGGTAACCATTCAACGTGGAGAATTTTCAATAATCACCTATGTAATTATACTAAAACAAAATAGTTCGCAAAAATATAAGGATAATACATAGATAGATATGCCTAATCTAAACTTAAAGCGCCTATATCACTTGTTGGACATTTATGGAATTGAAAAGAGGGTAAAACTTTAGTTAACAAGTTCAAAAGCTTTTTTTGATTTGGTGCAATAATTTCGAAGATACAGGCCTCTAAACTACTTACATTTCCTGAGTCCCTGAAGGCTCCTTTGCACAATGGATAGTTTCGAAAAAGGCCAAATTCAATAGCCGTGCGGTTAGACCCAGCAGGCTGGGACTCAGGAACAGTCCGTTTTTTAAAGGCCTATTTCCTCAAAACTATTGCAGTAAATCACAAAAAGCTTTAGAACTTATTGGCGAACGTTTTAATCTCTTTTCCAATCCATAAAAGTCCCACAAGTGATATAGGCATGTAAAAATTGAATTAAAAATCGTCATGTTTCGTGCGTGAATATATTTCTCTTATTTATAAGTACCAGCTGATATTAGTCTTTTTACTATTGTAATATAGATTTTTAACATTGTAAACTATGCAGATTAATCTGATGAGTCGTACACCTTTAACGTGAGCCTCAGGCTTGGATAAATGGTCAACCAAATCGCGTGCTCAGGATTGCATGAAACATATAGATTTGCCGAGTTCTCTTAATTAATTAATTAATTGAATAATTCATTTTCATAATTAAAGAAAAACATTTTTAAGAGAGGATGTCCACAAAAATCAAACATAAGGCGGCCACGACGGAAAACGATTTTGCTCAAATTTTGCCGAGATATACCTTATTATATTGGAAAATGCACCATATATTTTTTTAGGTCAAATGCTTTTTTAACTTTGAGAAAATGCCGTTTTAACACGACCCCCCTAAATCGCCATTTTGTCTGGGAGAATATGCGCTGATTTTACCGACAAATTTCACGACGACAACCGTTTCTAATCGATCTAAAACCCTAAAAATCTTGTTTTCGGTTATTCAAAGGACCGGGTACGTGACTTACAGGAAATCTGAGTTAGTTTTAGGAATAGAAATAATCGTAGTTTTGGAGCACACTATCTTACTTCATTTACGATACCCTCTTAACAAAACCGATTTTCACTATGCGATAAAGCTCCAAATCGATCATGCTTCTACTAGTTGGCTCTTTCATAAACAAGCTTTCAATTGACGTAATGCAGGTATCAGCGGCTTTCCCGGGGGGTCGACCCCCGGGCAACCCCCGGGCATGGCACGGAATTTGTTTTAAAATCATGCCCCGGAGACCCGGGATTTAGCCTACATTTGTATTTTGAAAATTAACCCCGGGGGCAAACGCCCGGGATTTGCATATGGACTGCTGCTATATCGGTCAGCGGTGATTCATCAAAAAAATTCTTAATTATGATTTTTGAAGACGCTTCGAACCTTCGAAGTTCGAAGCAAATTCGAAACATTTCGAAGCACATGAACAATATACCGTTGATTGCAACTATACAGTAGAAACATGTCATGAGAAAACGCGTCCAATTGGCTGTCAAACATGATTTGTTTGACACTCACAGTCAACTGTCAATATTTCAAATTTAGAAACACATTCATATTGGGCGGGGATTAGCTTGCAAACACTAAATCCGTGATTAAATTCGTCTGAATTAAATTCGACGTATGAAACAGGCCTTATATTTTGTGTTTATAGTGGACAAATTCAGTATTGCGGTTTGCAATGTTTGTACTAACTTTGTTACGTTTTCGCGGAAAAAATAATTGTAAACTGTCAAATGTTTCCAGCAAAATCATGTAAAGTTTGAAGTCCAAACATGTTATGTTTCATGTCCAATTAGCCTGCGTAGCCGGCAGTTTTAAGGGTTGGGGTTGAGTCGCGGGCAACGAAAATTAGGGAGGCGAGGCAAACCGCTGGCTACGCAAGCTATGTCCAATTTATAGATCGCGTTTTCTCTGCCTCGTACCCAGGCGCTTTGGTTTGTACACGTGGGACAGCACGCGTCCCACGCAAAGGCCACACGAGCAATAGAGCAACATACCGCCTGGGTACGAGGCAGGCGTTTTCTCATGACGCGTTTCTGCTTAGTAGCAATCGATGGTAGGTGAATGTAATTTAATCCTTTTATTTATAAATGAATAATTAGCCATCTATCCTCAATAAAAGTTGGAAACACCAGAATCATTGTTTGAAACTATAAAGGACACAAACTTTTTAAATTTTGTATCGGATACAAACGTTTTGTATCGGATACAAACGTTTTGTATCGGATACTGATTTATTAAGTAGGTTAAAATAGCAAACGTATTAATAACAAATGTCCCGATATAAAATTGTGTATGAATTTTTAGTTCAGAAATATCTTCTTTACGGCCTACGCTTCATTGTTTATTGAACGAGATGCCCAAAATTATGTTAATAAGTATATTAACTTACTACGAATTTCTTTGTAAATAACCATTTGTTATATTTGAAATTATCGTTTTCCAAATTTCGCCCCGGAGGTAGGGGCATTTGTGACAAAATTTTGCCCCAACCCAAGGGCATTAGTGTCCTTTTGTCAAGGCTGTTTTGACAAATCCCCGGGGTGGCCTGGGGGTCGACCCCCCGGGAAAGCCGCTGATACCTGCATAATTGGTTAATGCTATAATTAAATAATGATATATTTAGTGATTGTAACTATATTTAGCTTGTTGTTATTATGTGAAATTGACATTTCTTCTGGCACATTTTGATTGGATACCAAAAATAAAACTATAGTGTGGGTGGAAAGTAACTCTGAATGGATCAAGAGTTGCATCAGTCTCAGTATGTAATTACAGAGCATAATTGCAGGTTAATGAGATTTCTAATAGTAATTAATGCAACATTGGTTAGATTAAGACTAAGGGGGAGTTTACATGAAAGGTAATTGTTTCAAGTTGCAACTTACAGTGGTATCTCCTATTTCATTTTAATTTTATATGGAAATGAGCTGGCATGCCTTGTGACGGGGTCTTTCTTTGCATTGCCTGAGTTATTGGGCAATTACTATACACTAGCTGGATATTTTGCAAACAAAGACGATTACCTGGTTTTGCTCGCCTACCATAGTTAAGTGTTTATATGCTTTGTCTGTGCAAATATAATTTGATATAAGCTGTATATATCATATGACATTCTCCTGACAGATTTAATCTTAGAATCGATGATAAAATGATGGACGGTATAAATACTGTATATACTGTAACTGGTGTATACAGGTTATAATTATGAAATTTGCTCACAAAAGTGGGATAGTTTGGAAAATATATTTAATTAAATTATATTTTTGTAATGCTAATTATCCCAGTATTATGTTTTGGATAGCCAGCATGCCACCCTGAGGATTACGATTACCATTGATAAGTGTATGGATATATTTGACAAGATAATATAGGGAAAATGAAATATTCATCAATACTACTGTGCAACCTTTCTTAAAGGAGTACTGTATTAATATTAGTTGAAAGGCAGGCAAAAGGGGACAGATAGAAGACATATGATTAAATTATGTCATGTTTATCATTGTACAGTTTGGTATTGGTTTATTTAACAAACAATTTCCAATTAAGATAGCTTCATTAAATTAATTTACACACAGTCTCTATTGATTTAAAACGTGTGTGTACCTAGTTATTTATTTATATAATTTTAAACCTAGTGTTTGTTGTGTGTTAGTTTACTGGTTTCCTTGCCACAAGGCAATATTCATAGTATTCAGAGTGTGGGCTATTCACCATGCAGTTCATCTGAAAGCAGCTAGCCTAGGGGCAAATGAAATTGACCAGCTGATGCCAACCACACTGTCCATGCAGAGTAAGATTAGCAGCATAAGACAGAGTTGCATATATTTACCCAGTAAAGCACAAAATACCTTTAATCTTTATGCACCATATGTTATTTTACTTTAAATTCTAATGCTAGAAGATTTTACTCATGGAACATTGGAAATTAATAGGGGAAGGTGGTTCATAAACAACATAATAACACTGTCTTCTGAGTCCGGCAATGCAACTAGTGGAGCACACTGTATACACCTTTGTTACACAGTATGTGTGTATTTGCGTTGTCGTGATTTTCTGCCGAAATGTTTTTCAATAGAAAAGTTAAGGCTACAAGAAGCACAGTACTGACTATTTTTTAATAGAGACTTATTGCCACTGCTGTTATTACACTTGTACAAGCAAAATTTTTTTTCTTATGTGGAGAAATTATGTTTTTTTGCGATATAGGTTCAAGTTTTTTACGTGTTTTTTTACGTGTTTTTCCAAAAATGCAGCAAAATTTTTGTGACTCTGATATAGGAATTGCAACAAAAGAGTTCACTCAGAACGCAGGAAATCGCATTTCTGAGGTCCTAGATTTCAAAATTTCCCGGGGGAGAATACCCCCAGACCCCCCTACAAATGCAAGGTCCTATGTATGCATCAGTCAGCTCTGGAGCTGGATCCGCCCCTGGTTTTCACCGCTAAACCCAAAACATAACTGGCATATTTGTAATACTTTAATTCACCATCAATTCTTATTTGTAATACTTTAATTCACCATCACTTGTTTTATCAAAGCGTTCCTTATTTTATTACCCTCGAAAAGAGTGGAGAATGTTTCAAAATAATAAGTTTTTCTTGATCCCATGTTTTTATTAGAATTTATAATATACAATTCTCATCTGTTTACAATCCAAAATGTGTAATGATTTATCTTTCAATAATTGTAATATAAAACCCATCTCATAAATAATATCAAAAACCGCCTTTTTATCTTGGTCTTCCCATATTTGGATAATCCAACAAATTTGTCCCGAAACATTAACAACAACATACGCTTTATACAAATATTTATTATACAACTCACACAGATCATACAGTACCAATTTCTATGTATGTTCAGCCATAAATTTTTCTACAATATTTTTACAAATATCAAAAAAATTAGTATCCTTTCCGTTCACGTCTTTTACTCTTGGTGCATCATATGAAACTTCTCTTAATTTATCAAAATTTGCGTCTAATATGTAAAAGTAACAAGGAACACCTTGATCAGTTAATGTATCACTAACAGTATGTAAAAAAATATTCTTATATGGATGACACCTATCAATGCATTCATCTAACGGTTCTAAAAATCTATTTAAATACACAATACAATTCTTACAAACTAATATATGTTGTAAAATACGCTTCAAATATTTACCCTTATAAGTAATATCAACTAATGTATAACCCACAGTACCATCGGGTTTTTGTTCTAACATATGGGTCCTATAAACTAATTTCTCTTGATACATCCCCAGTGCATAAATCATTTCATGAGTGTGGCAGAAATTTCCTTGTTCAAGGGCATTCTGAAGACTTTTTAAACCGCAATGACCGGCACCAACATGAAAATACGTATGGTGAAAAAGAGTTAAACACAAAAAAATCCTAGGTATTACTGTTGACGAAAATCGTAGCTGGCATGAGCACATAAGTAATACTGTAAAGAAGGAAAAGAGTGGCCTTAGTGTCTTGAGACAATTCGTGATTTTGTTCCAGTAGACACATTAAAGAAAGTATATTATGCAATTATACAACCGCATTTCGACTATTGTTCATCAGTATGGGATAACTGCAATAAAGGTTTTAAAGAGAAACTTCAGAAATTACAAAATCGTGCTGGGCGGGTTATCACACATTCTGGTCACACATGCTAACCAAGTTATTTTACTTGGCCTAATGGACACATCTTGACAGATTTTGTCCCCATTTCTTTGGTATATCGATGTGTGATATGCAAAATACATACTTTTTTCAGAAATTCAAATTGCTTGAAATGCTCAACCAGGAAATGCGATACTAGAATTCCATACTCAAACTTTTGCTTCTTCTCATCCTGTGAACTGACGAGTATATCAATATTGTCTAACTTATCAATGTCCTGGCTGCAGCCACTAGCAGGCAAATAGTTACCTGAAACCCGATTCTGTACATATATATGGTTGACCCAGTGACAGTCCTGATTCTGATGCGCAATTGTCATATGCCGTCGACCAATCGTAACATGTATGTTGTCGAATGGGATGGAAAAACCAGGATGAGATGAAGGGCCAAACTTTCCATCTTTGTAACTTTCTTCTATCTGTTGTTTTGCATTTTGTAGCATCTGGTCATGGTTTTGTCTCAAAGCATCCATCTTCTTTAGGATAGTAAGATTGCAGCAACTTAGTTTAAGCTTTGGAAAAGTACTAATAACTGTCTGAAAAGAATATAAGATTTTCATATGGAACTTGGATTTTTTAACCTGAATTAACACATACTTCTTACATATAGACCAAGGCCAGATTTTGGTGGAAATAGTGGGAGAAGTGGGAAAAAAATTTAGGGGAGGTGCAACATTCTATCTCACGACCCCCATGGAAAGTTAGGGCTTAGAACAGGCCAGAGTCAACGACGTGACATATGCATGTTAGCAAAACATTGCATTATTAATAAAATGGTATTTGACACAGATGGCTATATCACTGTTTCAATTTTACAGAAAAATGTTTTTATGAAATATCGACCCTAAGCAATGTCAAATATTCACTTTGATTTATCATTGAAACTTTCCCGATGGGAGGTGCATTCACTTTTCAGGTGAGGTGCAAAAATTCTCAGGGGAGGTGCAAAACGATCTCAGGGGAGGTATATATGGGAGGTGCGCACCTCCCCACACATCCCCTCAAAATCTGGCCATGATATAGACGGTAATGCCATTTGAATTACTGTAAGCCTGTTCATTTTGCGTTTGTTTGTTTTGAAAATATAAGCCATAACTCTGTAAGGCCAAGGGTTTATACAATGCGTTTGCCGTTTAATCATAGACATAGAACATACTACAAGTGTCAAGCAAGTACCTGAGATGTGTACAATAGTGCATACTTTATTACATACATGCATATTTAACAAACAAAAAAGGTACGGTTTTTTATCATAAACCTAACACATGAATAATGTAATATTAAAATAGTTTCACCCATAACACAGAAATCAAGACCATTCTTAGTATATAACTATGGAGTATGGGCTTCTATGCATAGCATATTTATGTCTATGCTATAGAGTACTCTTTGATATGAAGGGACAAGATTTATCACTAGATTGTGTCATGTTTTATCAAGTTGAATATAAATTGTACAAATTAAATTAATATCATACCGATGTTGATGAAGTTTTTAGTGTCATTCCAATTATTGCAGCCATTGCGTTCATGTGTTTATTGCGTTGTTTCAGTAACACGCTATCAGCCATAGCCATCCCGGGACACCAATTCGCATCTTCTTTGTTGACTTGAAACAACAAACACGTAAAAAGGAATTAAATAATGGTGCTCGCTCTGCCCATTCTTTGCAAAGTTTTTCTAACTTAAAACTCGAAAGTTTTTCCTTTGTTGTTCCCCGTAACAAAGATGGCTTTCCCGTAGAACACAAATCCTCAATTTCTTTCTTCAAAAGTCGCAATATGCATTCAATTACCTTTCACACAGGTGTATCGATTTAGTAATAGTATTTGCAATTCCAACATTATTTTTGTGCACTAAAGCTTTGCCAAGTTTTGCAAAATCACCCCTGAGTTTCTTCTGCTTTGATTTCAAAGGGTATTTAACAGACACAGTGACCACTGTCGGCTCTGTGTTCGTTGGTACTTGACGCTTTTTGGGTGTAGACGTCGCAGAGGCATTGACAAAATCGATGCCCTCATTCTGTATGCCAAAGTTGTTACGATTCATAGCCAATGGCAGTCGTTTCGACTGGAGAGTAACACTACCAACAGTCAATCCAGCATAGGGTTGCGGTATAAACATGTGGTTAGGATATGCAATTTGTGGTTGGATTGAGAACAAAGATGCACCGTACTGTTGACTGGAATGGCTATTTCCTCCCTGTTCGTTATATGCGAGGTAAGTTTTCACTTTTTTTGAAGCAGGGATTTTGAAGCTGGTGTTGTGAAATAACCTCTTGCCTTCTATTTTCTAAACGGATTCTAATTCCCGTTCTTTGAATAATTCATTAAAATACTTGTTCACAGCATTTATAGTGTTCTCCGCGCTTACAAGTCACTTTATTTCTTGCACACATTGTCAGCATAGGAAACAGCACGGGTAAATTTCACAGAGACATTCCAGAAAAACACCAAATTTCTCTCAAAATATTTCCAACAAGTTATACTGTGAACGACCACTATTTACTAATACTCGATATTTCCTTATCTCGTCGTTTTTACAAGATAAACAAATATTTTCATAATTTTCTGCATCTGTTTTTTCTTTCACGCTCATTGTTGTTGATTATAAATTACATTATTTAAAATAGTCTATTTTTAACTATTTTGTACAATTTTGTTTATACTGCTAAAGGGGTGTGTCCACCGAATGAACTTGACATTACAAGCTGATTTGACCTTATATCCTATTGGCTAATGGAATACAATGGGAAGACGAATTGCTAGCCAAAGTAAGCAGACTGTACGTGGCAGGCCCAAACCCGCTAAAGTAGGTCTGCATAGGAGACTAACAGTGGAGCGGTCACCTGGAATTCTCTAAGTGATGACATCAAATCAACTGAGGATGTCATTGCCTTCAAAACGAAGGTTTCTAATGATATACGAGATTCTCTTAGTCTCTAATGCTTTTATTGTATATATGTAATATAGTTAATCATTTAAGTTATTGTAAAATCTAGTTTCCCCTTTGTTTCCCTTTCTCTCCTTTCTTTCTATATTTATACATAGATTTATAATTTTTATATAGTTGTATATATGCACGGCTCTCAGGAAGAGTATTGTTTGTAATGATGAGATTTCCGTGTTAACCCTTTGTAAACATTAACACTATCAATATCAAACTGCGCTTGTAGAGATGAATGAAGATGGTCAATAAATGGGATGGTAATGGTTCGTTTGTAATACTCAGAAATGGTCTTGAATGGGTGGTTTACCCCAGCAGTTTGTCTCCCCATTGTCTGTGTCTTTGACTCTTCAAGACCAACTTTAATTGCCAATTGCAAAGCTTCTTCATACCCGATATTATGGTATCTATCAACAGAATTCCTCATTAAAATTATGTTACCTTTTAAACTATTAATCAGATGAATACCATCCATTATATCTATAGTTTTCCCTTGTAATAATTTTGTAACATCAAGAGTGGCATCAAGAATATGTCTAGTAATAACCAAAGCTGCAACAAATTCAAACTTTAAAATATGTGTTAGATGGCAGGATGCATCACTAGAAAGAGACAGATTATACTCACCTGCCGAGTTAGTTTTCATAGCTTCAAGTGTATAGTATAATGGGAAAAAAAAGCTCTGTGAATGTATCCAAACCTTCAATATGCTCAATCCATCTAGTTCGACAAACATCACCCGAACTCGTTTTTCTGCTTTCTGTATCAGAACTATAGGTCTTTATGATTTCTTCAAAAGGCATATTATGTGTCTGAACTATGTTGATGAAATGAGAAACCTTGTTTACATGTTTCAGCATGGTGTTTACCTGTACTATATTTAGAGAGTCACAAACAGTTAAATTTAGTCTATGACTGTAACAATGTGCATAAAAGGCTTTCTGTTTTAGCCTTAAAATATGTGCAGACAATCCATTGATGTGCCCTGCAACAGAACCTGCACCATCTTATCCTTTTTCCCTACAATCTTCAATAGATAAAGTTAAATCATTTAAAGCTTCTAATACAAGTTTAGCAAGTGCGGCACCACTTAATGCCCATTTGCAGTGTAAAAACGCAATAAATTCTTCTCTGATATTCATATCAGTATCAACAAAACATAAAACAAGGGACATTTGCTTTCTATGGGAAGAATCTGCAGCCTCACCAGCAATAATAATAAACTTACTTTCCTTTATATCGTTTATGATCTTTTCACTGATCACCTCACCACAACAATTAATTATCTTATTCTGACTTGTCTTTGAAATGTAACTTCTGTTCTTACCACAAGTTTTCAAATGGTCTTCTAAAATTTTATCCCCTGCTCGAACTCTAAAATTAAGTGATTCAACAAAATTACCAACACCCCCAGTGGAATAGCTGCCCACTTCCTGGTGATATTTAGCACCATCACGGTTAGTATCTACAATTACTTCAATGGGTTGTGCAGTCCCTGACATTTGGGCAAGCAAAGATGTTAAAATTGGAAATGTAAAAGCATACAATCCCATTTCCCCCCCATGTCCAGCATGGCGTTTGAAAGTAAAGGTAGCATTGTTCCAATAGGTCAAGTGTTCAGAAAATAATTTCTGGATTTTCCCGGCCTTACCAGACTTACCAGGAAAACGATCTCCAAATAGCACACATGATAAACAGTACCCACCATCTTTGGAAGGTGAATAACAAAGCTAGGAATATAAGCTGAACCAATTTTATCTAAAACTTCTGCCACTGGTCTTAGGAAAAGAGTATTGTTTGTCTGGCTTAAAGACATGTTTGATTAAATTACAAATTTCAGAGGTATCCATACCTTTAACCTTCTCCCTATACAATGCAACATCAAAATTAGGAGTAAAATCATGTTTTACCCGTGGAAAATTCTGTACCATATTTGGTGCTGGAACAGAAGTAGTGCTTTGTTGTGTTTTAGTTGACGAATGTTGAGAAGTGGAGCTAGGTGTTGCAATCTCATCTAATTTATGAGCATCAAGTTGTGTGGAAGTCGCATTAGGGGCCTTCTGGCATGCAGGATTGACAACAACAGTGGGCTTGTCTGCTATGGTGAAAAAATTTAACATATTAGCATCCGCTTTATTTGATGCTTTCTTTGGCAAAATAGGGGTCAGTTTTTGCTTCTTGGTTATTGGTTGTTTGGGAAAAATAGGGGCCATTTTCTGCTTCTTTGTTACTGTTGAAACTTGTGAATCAGCAGAAGATTTATGTTTATGCTTGTGTGAATGAAAAAGAAGAGGTACAAAATGATTAGGCTGGAAGGCTTCTCCAGGTTTAATAATATCTTCATTGCAAAATAAAATATGAATATCATCTAGACCTTTCTGAGGATTCTGGTGTGGCTGAACTAGCCTATTAAAAAACAATTTATATCTATCCGCACCAGCATCAGGGTAATAAGTATGTATATTTCTATGTAAAACAGACGAAAGACCTAGAATACATAAAAATTATGACCATTTCTTATCACCACAATTTAAAGTAGCTACCTTCTTTACCAATGATCCTTGGTTGAATCTGTATCTAAACACTCGATAGACACAGACAAGGGTAAAATATTGTTTATAGAATTCCTAAAGTATTCACTATGTTCGTTCACAGCAGACAAAAAGCAAGGGTGTTCAGAATAAAAATTTGCATTCAGAAAAAGCTCAACTTAGACCCCGTTCACATGATACCGGCATGGAATTCTGCCGGCCAGAAAATCATCACAGTTTCAACTGTTCACACGATACTGGCAGATTATACTCTGCTTCGACAATATGCTGCGGAAATCAGTTGAAATAGACAGAATAAAATATCCAACAACAAGTTTTGCAGTTTTGTTAATTTCATTTTGCATAACCGGTTAGGCATTCACACAGCACTGTGACGGTAGAATTTCGTTCCCTTTTCAAACTCTTACGGTTAGCGTTACGGTTTCACATTTTTTCATACCGGCATCATGTGAACGCAACCCCTAAACATAAGAATTTCGTTCAGTTTTCAAAATCTGCCGGTAACGTGTGAACAGGGTCTGAGGTTAATATCCTCAAAGTTTGCACTAAACTGTTATCACCTACCAGTACCAGAGACAGAACTATACAAACAATTGGCAGAAGCTTCTGACCTAAGTGAATTGAAGAAACAAAAAATAATGTATAAATGAATAAGTTAAATATTAAAGTATATTACTATAAATATAAATTGTTCACATACAATTCTAGCAGATATAAGTCATGTTTTGCTGACAGGAAGGTAAAAATATGTTTATATGAATTCAAGATATCATATTACAAAACATCATAAACACCAGACCATGTGGCATGTGCTGTAATTCTCTTATTAAGAATATTATCGGTTCAGGTGAAGAAAATATACATTAATAAAACTTTACCCAATACAAACAATACTAATATGAACAATCATTAGGAATATAAAAGCGACCAATGGCTTATGCCTTTTTTGGGGCAATATAATGATATAAATCACCTTTGAACCATCTTAACCAATCGCACAAAAAATTACAAATTTATACAAGCAGCCAAGTCCCCCAAGCGGCTTTTACTGGCGTGATAAACACACTTATGAAGAACCAATATATACATATAATCTCCTTAACTTATTGCTGTACACTTATTCTGTTGTTGACGAGCAAATGCTGGTATAAAAATCTCTGCACCAAAATTTCTAGCCAGACTGGATTTGGTGTCATAAATAGCGTCTAAGAGCTCTTCCATAGATTTTGTATTTGAAGCACCGATTTGCTTCAACATATATTCGTTCACCTTCCTTATAGACTCAAGATCGTTGTCTACAAACGCAGACAGGACAGTCTTGTAACTATACATTGTCATAATGAGTATTGAGCAATGTAAACTGAATAGCACTTCGCAATTTGAATTAAACAATTTGTTTCAAGCAAGAGGCAAACAGAAAGACTTTATTAAGTTGCTGACTGCTGCATACCCCATGCACACAAGGTAATTTCCTCTTTTTCGACCAATCACAAGTTCAAATATTGCACAAATAAGGCAGACCCCCATGAAGATGAGGCAAAAAAGTTGAACCAATAAGAGAAGAGAATTCCCCTTCAATCAGCCAATCAGATACCTCATAGATGACGTAAATAAAGCAGACCCCCACAAAGATGAGCTAGAATCTGCCTCAAGTGAATCAAGGCCACTGAGTTAACAGCCACTGAATGAAATTCAATAACTGGACTATTGTGAATATTAATTACATTTGCTGTCACTGCAGGAAGGATTAAAACTGGAGTAATGGACAATTTTATGAATATTAATTATCTGCACAATTTTTACATTAGTCGCATGACTTATTTGACAACCCCTAGATCGCCCCTGATAGTGGTTAAATATAACACATGGCTATTATTGCAATTCATCATGTCAAATAACACATGAATGAATAATAATATTTATTCAGGAAACCAACATCACAAGGATGGATGAATATATATGATAAACCAAAAAAATTATGAGGATACATGATGATATATACATATTATAGGATACATGATGGAAAACCAACATCACAAGGATGGATGAATATATATGATAAACCAAAAACATTATGAGGATACATGATGCTATATACATTATATAGGATACATGATGCTATATACATATTTACAAAGGTTCAAAGAGTAAGTAAGTTCTTTTTAAATATACTGTATGAGTTTTTGTATCTGCAAAGCAGATATATTGCTATCGCAAATGTGACCGTACCGTTACCGTACCGTATGTTAACAGATAGCCATTCAGTGATGAGCTTATATAATTTAAGCCAATTTAAGCCAATCAGCAATCATGTTACATCGTGTCCACCATCTAACCTGCGAACGGGCATGGTTTGGCCTCGTGTTATTCAGGTATTCTCGCCATTTTGGATTTCAAAAATATCTTGAATTCGAATTGCTGTTTTTTCTCTCACCATTCTACTATTAACATGGAAACTTATGCTGATCTGGTAAGTAGTCAAAATGTCAAATACCACATATTTTATTATATACATTTTAATATACAGTAAAACAATCGTTGTGTAATATTTTAAACAGTCAAAACATAGCAGGCCAGTCAGGCAATATTGCCAATGAACAATATGAAAGGAAACTAATGTTCTAAGGAGATTTTGAATTAAATCCTGGTCCTGTATTTCTGTAACTCTGTTCAAAACAACAGTCCAACTAAGGTGTCATGAAATGTAGTGTTAGAGCAAAAGTTAAGATGTTATAAGCTAAAATACTTATACATTTTGGTTTTACACATTAGAGTATATAAATACTATAAATTAAACAAAAATTTTACAAACATTTTGAAATGCTAATAAATAATCCCCACCCTCCCTCCTCATTACATTGTCATTTTACTTTCTAACATAAATGTTTTTTGTGTAGAGATTGATACAAGAATGATGAATAAATGTACTGGATATTGGCTGGATAATTTTGTCAGAACAATGGCCACTTGCAAGTCAATCTTACCTAAATTAATTAGTACGGAAAATAACTTAATTTAACAGCTACAATAATCATATATCATATCGATAGATCAGATCAATTACGCACAATGTGCAAAACTAAATTGTTTTTGTGTGGATATGCTGTGTTAAACCAAACAGTGTGGTATATCTAATCATTAATAACTGTGCACAGAATTGGAATTGAATTATATACTTCACTCATGACCTTCTCTCTCCTCCGCAGAGGCTTTTAAAGAATATGAAATTCGAAGGAATTGAAAAAATATGAAATTCGAAGGAATTGAAATTGCGCCAGAAGGTATCTGATATGAAGACAACCACTGAAAATCGGTGTGCGGGCGAGGGAAAGGGGAAAATTTCTCAAAAAGTCAAAAACATTGAAAAACTACCTTAAACTAGTCCAAACTTTCTGAAAATTGTCGATAACCTTTCCTATCATCAAAACAATTACTTTCGATCGATAAAAACATGATTTAAAAAATTTCGGTCGGATGCATAGGGGGGACTCAGATACCTTCCAGCGCAATTTCAATTCCTTCGAATTTCATATTTTTTCAATTCCTTCGAATTTCATATTCTTTACAAGCCTCTGCGGAGGAGAGAGCATGACCTTCAAAACATTCCCTACTATTCAGTGGTCTTCGACATATGATTGATTCATTGATACAGTAATGCATGTTCCTCAAATAGTTTGTGTATGTTACTCAATAGTTAACATAATAATAATAATCTTTATGTAAACTGTGAGACCCATTCAGCTAATTAAAGCTGGTCTTACCCGGGTGAACAGTATTTACAGTTATGGAATACTTACATATATATACGTTTATATACAATATTACAATAATCAGTAAAAATTACAAACTACACCTATGTGTAGATTTGTCTAATTCTAAAAAATGTTTAAAAGCATTGTTTTTAAAGCTGCCGAGAACTTTAATATCTCTGATACATTTAGGTAGCAAGTTCCAATCATGTGCTGCAGCGACTTTAAACATAGTTTGCCCTAGTGAGGTGTTTACTCTAGGTATATCTATCAAAGTTTGATCACGGAGGAATTTTTCTCTTAACGAGCTTCTTAAGACCAGATAATTGTTAAGATACTTAGGAATGTCCATATTATTGACAATTTTAAAAACTAGAATATTCCTTAGAAATCGTCGTCTACTATGTAGAGTTAAGAGGCCAAGATGATTTCGCATTTCTTGCGTACAGGTTGTTCTATTAGCACACAAGATTGTTCTCATAGCTTTATTTTGGATTTTTTCAACTCGATTAGAGAGAACAGACCCGCAATCATGCAATATGATTGTGGGTCTGTTCTCTCTAATCGAGTTGAAAAAATCCAAAATAAAGCTATGAGAACAATCTTGTGTGCTAATAGAACAACCTCTATGCAAGAAATGCAAAATCGTCTTGGCCTTTGGCCAAATGCAAAATCGTCTTGGCCATATGGCGTGACAGAACTTTTGCTTCATATGATTACAATAAAGTTTTGAAAATTCAATGAGTATGATGGATCGACAAGTGACAGTTTACTAAATAGCCGGCTGCTGGCTGTATAGACACTTTGAATATTGTTAGCATGAAATTTTTATTTCCTGACTGCATAATTATCTGTTGCAATCATAATCATATTATAAATTAGTTACATTTTCTTGGCGGCGGAGGGGGGGAGGGCAGTTGTCCCTGCTTCCCTCCCTGCATGCTCGTGTACAGCCCTGTTAGATGTGAATTATGTTTGACTTTAAAATCTTATTTGCTATTATATTTATTATAATAAGTGATGAAATAGTTTCTCATGTCATCTTTATTATTCAGTTCCTTTCAAGAAAATATAAAATGTGAATCAAGTTTTTTCACAGATACATGTACGCGTAGCGTACCTATTTTTTTCTGTGTTGGTGTTGTGTACTCAGGTGAATGTGATATTTGTGATGTTACTCTGAGTGTATATCCACACCAGCCGAGCTTGAAAAACATGCCCGGCCATGGTGGGAATCGAACCTATGACCTTTGGAATACTAGCCCAATGCTCTGCCAACTGAGCTATGCGGTCAGATGGTTTGAGTAAGTGATATTTTGGAACAGAATCTAGTTCCTTTGATACCAATGTAATCTAGTAATGTGATTTTTTCTGTGTTGGTGTTGTGTACTCAGGTGAATATGATGTTTGTGATGTTACTCTGAGTGTATATCCACACCGGGCGAGCTTGAAAAACATGCCTGGCCACGATGGGAATCAAACCTATGACCTTTGGAATACCAGCCCAATGCTCTGCCAACTGAGCTATGCGGTCAGGATGGTTTGAGTAAGTGATATTTCGGAACAGAATCTAGTTCCTTTGATGGAACATGCACTTCCTTAACAACTTCTGACTGGAACATGCACTTCCTTCACAGTATAAAGATCAGTAACAGAAGGGCCACTCAGCGGTGCAACATGTCCACATTTTTTTATGCAAAAGTATGCAGTTTACTTGCCAGAAGGCAGGGCAGCCAGCCAGAACAGCGTGTTTATTGGCCAGAAAATGTCATTGACTGGCTAGGAAAATGGCGGCCAACATGCATAATGTGACATGTGCGAGGACAGAAACTTCAAAGCTTCCGACGTAAGTGGCCCTTCTATATGGATCTTTATTATATGCTTCCTTAACAAGTTCTGGGTTCTTGAAGTCCACACAAAGATAGAATGATGGATTATCAAGATCAGAAGGTTCAGGATATATCATAACCTTTCTCCTAGTTCCTTCCAATAAGTTGTGGTTTCTGTGTCCAAGGGTTGTAGATAACATTTCTGTTGTTTAGGGTTGGGATGAAATACTTGCCATTCACAAAAATAAAATATTTACCATCAACTGGTCCAACTTGGAAGATGTCAGAAATCTCCATAATCCAATCTTCATCTGCTGAACCAATTTTGCAGACAGTCCCTCTGCTTATTTTATCTGTATCACCAACTGCATCCTTGAAGGCTAGATGCTTTACGGACATCAATTTATTTGGCGTAGCTTGCACATGAATATCAGAGCGTGTAAAAAACCTGTTAACATCAGCAATGATGGCATCAGAGAACATCTTTCTATCCATACGTCCCACAGGCACACCATAGGACATTGCATGTTGAACTTCGGGTGAATGGTCTTGCAATTGTTGCATATCATTCAACAATGATTTATCTGCAGAAAATGACAATTTGTGCAACATTATTGGTGGGTTTGTGATGTTACTCTGAGTGTATATCCACACCGGGCGAGCTTGAAAAATATGCCCGGCCATGGTGGGAATCGAACCTACGACCTTTGGAATACTAGCCCAATGCTCTGCCAACTGAGCTACACGTTCAGGATGGTTCGAGTAAGTGATATTTTGGAACAGAATCTAGTTCCTTCGATACCAATGTAATCTAGTAATATGAATTTTTTTCTGTGTTGGTGTTGTGTACTCAGGTGAATAATATGTTTGTGATGTTTACTCTATATCCACACCAGGCGAGCTTGAAAAATATGCCCGGCTACGGTGTGGATATACACGTAGGTTCAATTCCCACTGTGGCCGGGCATATTTTTCAAGCTCGCCCGGTGTGGATATACACTAAGAGTAACATCACAAACATATTATTCACCTGAGTACACAACACCAACACAGAAAAAATTCATATTACTACATTACATTGGTATGGAAGGAACTAAATTCTGTTCCGAAATATCACTTACTCGAACCGTCCTGACCACGTAGCTCAGTTGGCAGAGCATTGGGTTAGTATTCCAAAGGTCATGGGTTCGATTCCCACCGTGGCCGGGCATATTTTTCAAGCTCGCCCGTTGTGGATATACTATGGCGTTCCGTTACGGACAATATTATGAAAGTTGTAGATATAATATCAAAGCCAATATTAAAATGTCAAAACTTGCAATACAAATATGAAACGTCCCAAATAAAATATCAAATTGTTAATGTTATAGCAAAGTCAGAGACAATTTATATCAAAACACATGTAACAAATATATAAACACACACATGTCATATTAAAAGACGTAATCAAATTATCAAATTCCGCAATAATAATTTCAAAACTATCACATGAATAATAAACATCAAAGTTATGAAAAAAATAACAAATCCTACAATACAAATATCAAACCGTCATATATTTTATCAAAGCATGTCAATAAAATGTCAATTTACCGTGAACACGCACACAAAATATATCAAATTTTCATGCACACAAAATATATCAAATTTTCACGCACACAAAATATATCAAATTTTCAATGCACACAAAAAATATCAAATTTTCACGCACACAAAATATATCAACTTTTCACGCCCACAAAATATATCAAATTTTCACGCCCACAAAATATATCAAATTTTCACGCCCACAAAAAATATCAAATTTTCACGCCCACAAAATATATCAAATTTTCACACACAAAAAATATCAAATTTTCATACGCACACAAAAAATATCAAATTTTCATATGCACACTTTACCGAAATGCCGGAAACGGAACTAAGAAGAAGATCTGGTTATATGAATGCAGAAGTAATGGGGAAGAAATGACCATACTATTTATGGATTCACATGTGACACTTTTACCTAAATCTCAATAATTTACACCGCACAATCGACAATATGGCACGACGAGATACTACAAATATAGCTGAAATAGTACGAAGAGTTGTGAGTTCAATAAATAGTCTTGATTCAAGTACAACAAATGCAGCAACTCTTCAAAACATGGAGACTGTAAGCCGCAATCCAAGTTCAAGGACACCTGGACAAGAAGTCAACGACGCTTTTCGTCTCCCAAGGACAAGTAGTACAAATGAATCACAAGAAACTATTACCCCTCGATCGAGAAATGGGCGATTCACACCTTATAGCGGTAGAAAGAAAGAGAAAAAAGCAAAAGAGAAAAAGGTTTCAAGTTCTCAACTAGATTTTACATTGAAAGACGTTTGTCTTTTGCCCAGCCCTTCGTGGAAAGATGTACCAAGACGGGCGAAGAAACAGAATTTAGTACGCAACAATCTCTTTGTTGATGTGTGGTCACTCGATAAAACATGGTCGGAGGAACAATTGAGGAGTGAAATTTTGATGTTATTTAAAGACCACATAAAGACAGTAAACAAGTAAGTATAAATGTATTCTTTCAATGACTTATAAGATTTAATAACTGTCATTGTATCAGCAGTCGTCCACAAAATACATTGAGAATTTTTTTAAAATCACTACTGTACCGAATAGACTACACAGAAGCACAGAGTAGATACACTACAGCAAGAAGCCCGACTTCTTGGTTTTTCCTATAATTTTCCAATGATTTTGGCGTAACTGTAATAGACCTTTCCCCTTATAACTAAAATTTTGATCTAGACAAGTCTAGACAAAACTTCACATCACAGCTAGAAAGAGCATCACAAAATTAGTAATATTCCAATGTTTCGTTGCGAAATGTTGTAAAATGCGGATAATATAGATTATAGTCCTGCAAAATTTGCAATTTTCAGTCATTTTGTATTACAAACGGGAAATTGATGCCTGTCAATTTCCTGTGCATAATACAAAATGACTGAAAAACAGCAAACTTTGCAAGGCTATATTATCTGCATTTTACAACATTTTGCAACGAAACTTTGGAATATTAGTAGTCTGCGTAGCAGGTGGTAGAAGTTAGAAATACCGCCTGCCCAAAAACTACAATGGTCCCGCTCTGGTCCCGCCCATCTTAATGTATTTATTTCATTGTTTGTCAAACTCAGGTATTGCACAGTGCAAAAATACGGCTTTGACGTTTCATATCTTCGGTTCATTCAATGCTATGAAGACAAAGATACCACGTTCGATTGAGTGTAACAATATGTCCTCATTCATAGCGATAGTTTTAGTCAATGTCAACATTATGGCGATTTATGAGCTTTGAAAGTCAAGCAAGTTTGTATATTATCAAATTATGCAATTGTCTGAACAAAAATATAGACTAGCCATACCTTTCACCGAACATAACTTCAGCCCCTTCGGACGTAACTTCTTTGTAATAGTCTTGTTCCAATCGCTATCAAAAACACAACTTAGAATGTCATTTACGAGCCTGTATCTTCAAATCTGCACTTTTATCATGGTATAAACATATCTCTATCAAGCAACAAATGTTGGATTGATATTCGTTGTTCATTCTTCAAGACGATGGGATTACCGATTCCAGATAAAGATTAAAGAATTCAACGCTTAATTCTCAATACATTCGTTATTTTTTCGTTTATAATATTAAACAAAAATAACAATAGTTTATATACGGCAACAGTAACTTCTAAAATTAGCACTAATTATTCTAATTCTTTACTCCTGTCAATCAAAAATTCAAAATCAACATTCTGACCAATCAGAATGCTCCGTCACCCAGCTGCCGGAGAACTCAGAATGTGTAGTTTTTGGGCAGGCGGTATTTCTAACTTCCCGTTCTCTCGTGCCCGTGAATACCGTTTTTTACTACCGTAAATTACTAATTTTGTGATGCTCTTTCAGGCTGTGATGAAATTTTTATCTAGATCAAAATTTTAGTTATAAGGGGAAAGGTCCATTCGTCAACAAAATGCTGACGCCATGGGCTTAGCTAGACAGTGTGCATTTGAGAGGCATTCACCCCCTGAAAATAATCAAAATGGTGGACGTCCAGGGGGTAATACCTCTCATAAGCGCACTGGCTAGGCCTGTGGCATCAGCCTTTTGATGATGAATCATGGCATTATAGTGGTTACTCAAATCGACCTTCTGTGTGTCTTTAGTCTGTAATGCAGTGCCGTAGGAAGCGCTTTTTGTTTTGGCGGCAGGGGGGGGGTGAAAACAACAGTCGAACGTCGCAAGCGTGAGACTCTATAGAGGACATTTTTAAATAAAGTCTCTGAAATGCCATTTCCTGGACTTTGGGGAAGATTTGACAGAATTTTGATGATTAGGAAATAGCATTATAACATGTCGAAAATTTTGTTTTTGATGTTACTCAGAGTGTATATCTACACACTCTTGGCATGCGGCAGGGCAGAACGCAGGTTGCAGGTTGGAATTGTGCTGGTTGGGAATTTTGCAGGTTGGAATTTTGCAGGTTGGGGATTTTGCATGTTGTAATTTTGCAGGTTTGCCAGGAACTTTGCAGATTGATAATGCAAACTTAAAATTACACCAATTTTTAGTATTCTAATATAATTTAGTTGTGTATTGCAGTCTGACTCCTTGTTGGCGCTTTTGATATCAGCCTATCCTGCTGTCATGTTCCTAGCCTCTGCTCTAAGGCTAGTGGCCATCACCCCCGTGAAAACATTCAAAATGACCAGATTGGTTTGGACCTACAGGGAGATGAATGTTTCAATTGTTGCGAGGTGCCTACATGACGTGGCAGCATTTCTAACTAACTCTCTAGTAATGATACAGTAATTGGGGGCTTGAGTGGACTCATAAGTGGGTGCAGAGGAGAGACACCTTATTCAGGCATTTTCTGAACTGCCACCACATCATGTAGGCTCCTCGCAACAATCGAAACTCCCTGAAGGTCCAAACCAATCTAGTCATTTTTAATGTTTTCACGAAGGTGATGGCCACTCCTTAGAGCAGAGGCTAGGAACATGGCAGCAGGATTGGCTGATATCAAAAGTGCCGACAAGGCGTCAGACTGCAATAAGTACACAATTAAATTATACTAGAATACTTTATAGTGGTGTAATTTTAAGTTTGGATCATCAACCTGCAAAATTCCTGGCAACCTTGCATCATGAACCTGCAAAATTCCTGACAACCTGCAAAATTCCAACCTGCAAAATTCCCAACCTGCAAAATTCCACCCTGCAACCTGCGTTTTGTACCTGCCGTCTTGCGATGCCTCTACATTCCGATATCACAGTTATATGTGTACCCTCATTGCTGGGAATACCATATCCCTAAAGTAGTGATACGAGTATAGGGACCACATACAGATAGTTTCCCAAATTTAATGTCAAAGGGGTGGGGAAGTGTAAATGTTTTGTCAGTAACAAAACATTTACATTATATAACAATATCAGCTTTTCTCACCACCAGGTTTAATTTGCATACCATTTGTCCCATGATGCAATGTGGTATTGAAAACATATTCAACAAAGTGGAAAAATAATTTTGAAACGTTGAAGAAATTTTGGGAAAAACAGAATATTTCTTATCGCTCTTCCTTTACTCATTAGATCTATTTTTAATAATTGCCCGATTTCTAAATGCAAACTGCCCAACCAAAAATTATTGAAAACATATTCCCCCTCTCTTGTATGCCTATGATGACTGGCACATCAAAATTAGGGATACACGTTTCACTGTGACACCGACTGTTGAAATTTCCCTTGTTTCAAGTGAGGTCTCGAAAAGGTGCTCGTGTTTATTATCAGAATGGTAACATATAGAGCTTATAGTTCCTACTCAGGGGATGATTGTATTCCCAAATCCCTCCAATTACACAGCTGAAGATTTACATAATAATAGCACTTAATAATATGTGTCCTTACAGTAGCATCAAGTTAGGTGTACTGTATTATCCTTTAATTATTATTTTCATTTAATAAATTGACAAATATATTTAATAACTCCTTGATTTATGGTTAAAAAGCACAATCATTTACAATATTTCTATATAGCTAATAAGAGGATGGTTTATAGGGTACCATTCCCAGCTGGTGTCAAGTAGAAGATCAAAAGTAGAAACTTAAATATGAAATAAGAATTGAAAATGATAATCTTGCTCATGTCAAAAATACGAAATTTCTAGGAATGATAATAGACCAACAATTAACTTGGAATGATCATATAAAATTATAAACTATGTAGCTAAAATTGCCAAAACAATTGGCATACTCAACAAAACACGCAACTTCCTGAAAATAGACACATTAACTACATTATACAACACACTAATTTACCCTTATCTATATTACGGTAATACAGTTTGGGCAAATAACTATCCCTCAACTAAAAAAGATTCTCAAAATACAAAAACGAGCAGTTAGGATCGTCACATTAAGTTCATATAATGCAAAATCGGCGCCACTTTTTCGAAAAACAAAACTTGTTAAAAATTGTGCAACTTAATAAAATTAAATATGCATTAGCCTTTTTATGTACGATTATGCAAGGGGAAATTTACCTACATTTTTTTACAACTATTTCACTTTGAATAGCAAAATTCACAAGCGTAATACCGACGAAGTACAAATTTGATCCATAAAAAGGCAATAGAACAAATTATGGAAAATTTTCAATAAAATATACGGGAACAGAAATATGGAAGGGAATACCAACAAAATAAAAGATTCATGGAGAAAAAATAAATTCAAAACGGAAATAAAAAAATATATCTGTTGTAATGTCATGCATGACATGTTATATAGAATAAAATTAGAAACGTATATTGATTATAATTCTCGCTTGGGAATAAAAAACAACTTGGGAATAAAAAATAACTTTTAGAGTACGATTATATAGAATGTATTTAGTAAAGCTATGTATTATCTCAAGGATGACTACTCGCAAAAGCCTTTTGGGTTTATTATAGTCCTTCTTCCAAATATTTAGACATATATAAATAATATAGCTAACTCGGGAAATATAATGTACTATTAATAAGCATACTTTGAATAAATATATTATTATAGTATAACTAATTTTCTGCTTGCCCGGCTCGTACTCGTAAAATATCAATACACCTGTGCATTTACATCACGAGTAGAATATTGGTTACGTTAACCCAGCTAATTCTCAACATAACAAGCAATTCGTAAGTAGTACTACGGCCTTGTAAATTATTTTGTTAATCTATTTTTAGTTTTGAATTTGTAAAGGCAGTTGGAAACACTGTTACAAACGTTCGACTACCAGAAGGACAAGAATCTAATGCAAAAACAATAAAGCATGTTGCTGGCAATGGACCAATCTATGTTAGAGCTTGTAAAGATATTGAGTTACATGCCTTTAATGACATAAGTACACAGTCACATTTGCAGTAATTAACTCATTAAGTCTTATTGCGCCCCCATGCGCCCTGGAATTGGGAACGGGGTAAGTCTCATTGCGCCCTGAGTGACGCGTCAATTTCATTGGCCAATAGCGAATGATATGCATTCCCTGTTGCCTAGCAACGGGCACCTATAAAAACACCCGAATCCGCTCTTTCAAATGAGACCTCGTGTAAGCTTGTGCAGTTCATATTGTCCAAGTTACGAGCGTTTTAAAATATTTTTTTTGCGAAAAGTTTTTGATTATGGCTGAAGCACTTCATATGTTCGAGAGTAGGGACGAAAGCGATTTCGAGGGTTTTTTAATGGACGAAACGGTTGAAGAAACACGGCCAATCGCAGCGGGAACATCAACAGTTTCATGGCGAGACATAGCGGGCGACTCGGACGAAGAGGATTTTGACGGTTTTTCGGACATCGAAGTTCAAGAACTCGACAGCGATAGTGTGAGCGAAAGTGGAAGCAAGATAAGTAACGATAGTTTTGATGATATTTTTGAATGGAAAGATAATTTAAGCAATGTTAGTGTTGAAGACTTTACTGCCGACTTTGGTCCTTGACATGGGTTGGGTTTAGACGCTTCCCCTAAGGACTTTTTCGACTTGTTTTTCGGCGATCAGTTTTTCGATCACATTGTGCATGCTACAATTTCATATGTGTGTTCAAATCACAACGATCAAAATTTTACAACCGACCGCGACGAAATGTCTGCATTTTTCGGTCTAAATATTTTGATGGGAATTAACCGACTACCAAAAATAAAACAATATTGGGATTGAGATTTGTTCTTAGGAAATGCCGGCTTTAAAACAACAATGCCTTCCAGACGTTTTTGGATTTTAAATAGGTACTTTCATATTTCGGACCCGCGGCAAGAAAATCCAACAGACAAACTTGCAAAAATTCGGCCCCTTATTTCAAAGCTCGAAAAAGCTTTTCAAGATGTTTATGTGCCTGGAAAAAATATTTCGATTGATGAAGGTTTGGTTAAATTTAATAGTCGTTTATCTTTCAAGCAATATATGCCTAAAAAACCGAATAAATTTGGTATTAAAGTTTGGATGTTAGCCGATTCTGAAACTTACTGCGTGCCGCGCTTTCAAGTTTACTTAGGTAAACAACAAAATGCCGAAAATGCCGATGAAAATGATGCAGTAGAGGCGCGAGGTCTCGGTTTTAAAGTTGTGGATTTCCTGGGAAAACCCTACTATAATACTTACTGTCACTTCTATTTCGATAATTATTTTTCCTTGGTTCCTTTACTCGAACATTTGCTTGAAAATAAAACTTACGCATGCTCGACCTTGCGCCATAATAGGAAACAATTTCCGGCCGATTTAAAAAAGATAAAACTCAAACGCAGTGAGATTCGAACATGACAAAATAAAAACTTAGTTTGCATGACATGGCAGGACAAGTGTTTAGTGACGATTTTATCAACCAATGTCGATCCACAGCCTGAACTTTTCGGTCCTTTGGATGAGCGCACAGCTAAAACCTGCAATAAGTTTATGAACGGTGTAGACGTAAATGACCAATATAGGAGCTACTACCCTGTAGGAGCTCAATCTAAAAAGTGGTGGAAATATTTGGCTTGGTTTTTCGTGAATATTTCGATTGTAAACGGTTTTATTTTACAAATTTTGCAGACCGATCGACGCCGTCGCCTAAAACATTTAGATTTCTGTCTTGCTTTGGCAAGGCAACTTATTTCGACCTATAACGGCTACAAGAGAATTTCTAGTGGTCCACCTAGCCGTAAAAAAGATGTTCCAGTGGGTAGAAATGTCAAGGGCCATAGCTTAGTGAAGTCTTCAGAGCGAAGACGAGCGTGTGTGATGTGTGCAAAAGCTGGAAGGAAGTGTGCATCGGGAAGAACCTTTGAAAGTGTGTATAAGTGTGCTCAGTGTAATGTAAATCTTTGTAGAGAGTGTGCATGTTTTATGGAATGGCATCAATAAAGTTATAGTCTTATTAATAGACAAAACCTTTCAATGTTTGCATGTTTATTCTCCTGTAATATAGTGTTTTTTAAATAAACAAGACTTGGCTCTTTGCCAGGCAGTTGCCGGCAAGGAAGCCATGTCAGTGCAGTCAACAAGTAAACAATATTATCACCAAAAACTTCAAATTTCTCCACCAAACCTGGTTTGTTTTGTTTTCAGGTGTAGATTATATAAATATTTGATATTTTCTGAAAAGTTAACCAAATAGCTAACCGATTATTGGCGTACATTTGATGGTGATTTTTGTTTCCAAATATTTTTCATATCCAGGACACAAGCTATTTTATATTTACATGACTTTGACTCATCAAGTTAAAAATATCCAACACAAAATTTCAGCGTTTTTCATTAATACAACCCCATGTGCTTTCAGAATTAAAATCCTTGCTTTTGAAGTATTTTGTAAAACAAATATAAAAAAGAAAATGATTAAAATATCTGAATTTATAGTAAATCAAGCTTTTAAATATTCATGCCCTAAATTACAAAAATAAATTGTTTAGAAATTAATCATTCGTAAAATTCATACACGCAGAACTTATTATTCATGAGGACCTTTGTGCTCATTTATACATGAAATGAAACCTTATTTATTACTTTAACCCACTGCCAAATTTCAAGTTTTTTTATTGTATTGATCTTGGGATATACGTATTTTTGTAAAGGTAGTTGACAGTAACTAAAATTATTCCTAAAACACCATATTCCTTGCAACTTCGGGGCATGCCAATGTTGCAACAGTCTGCAACTTAATGAGTTAAAGCCTATACGTGTATACATAAATCTATACAGTATATAAACTTATGCATATATAAATTGGGCATGGCTGCAAAATGTTTAACATTTTTTAGTGCTATAGTAGAAACTTAGTTTAATATAATTTATTTTGCAGCCAACATTTCGCGAAAAGCCAAAAAACATTGGTGATTGCCAAATATGACGCGCCAAAGCGGACAAAAATACTTCATTTGAAAATATAATACTTCATTTAGAAATATAATATATCTTGTTGAAAATTAATACTTCTTTCAAAAATATAATACTTGAAACAGTAAATACATAAACCAATATGGAAATATATACCGGTGTCAAAATATAAACCGGTTTCAAAATATAAACCGGTTTCAAAATATAAACCCGTTTCAAAATATAAACCGATTTCAAAATATAAACCGATTTCAAAATATAAACCGGTTTCAAAATATAAACCGATTTCAAAATATAAACCGATTTCAAAATATAAACCGATTTCAAAATATAAACCGATCGCGGGCGCACAATAAGCCGCTGACCGATTGCAGGCGCAAGTTATACGTAATTGGCGCAGTGCTTCCATTTTCAAGGAAATTTCCTTTTCTAAGGAAATTCTATGGTCGAAAAGGAAAATCTAAGGAAGAGAAAAATTCTAAGGAAATCTAAGGATTTTTTCGAAAAACTTAGATATTCATCCAAGTGCATTGGTGCAGAAGAAGGTTTCACCATTTTTTTTTATTATTGAGTGAATTATCAATTACGTTTAATTAAAAATCTGTTTATAACTTTTTCTTCATGTCTCCGAAAACATACGAAAGTTTTTGAGCGATGGGATTTAGTAACTTTTGGCGCCAAACACTTTGAAAAGTTAATTAATTATATCAGTGGAAATGTATATGTTGTAAACTCATAACAAATATTTAATATTTAAATAGTATAATAGCCTGTGATTTTTAGCTAGCCCACATCTGTGTTAATTGTCCTATTTTTTGCCTTTAAAATTAATTAATTAAATCCTTTGTATTGCTACAAAATCACTGCAAACTGCTTAATAAAATTTCAAGGAAATTTCAAGGAAATAACGTATTCAATCTAAGGAGAATTTAGAGAAAATTTGATGACAAAAATGGGAAATTTTGATTTTGAAAATGGAAGCACTGAATTGGCGGGAAATAAATTTAACAAAAACAAAGCGAGCTGGAAGCATGGCGGAGCAGCTATTGAACCGTTTAATAAATGCAGTTGAAAATATTAGATCTGCAAATAATGGCACCGGAACTAATCAAAACCGTGAAAGGAATGAATCAGTGGAGAGTGAAATAAATCACTTGTTTCCTAGCGTTGCTTCAGTGAGACAAAACAACCAGTCAAGTTTGTCCCAATCGTCTGTGACTACCAGCAGATTAGATGCTGATCCTGACCGTGTAGCGCGAACAAATACGTTCAACCCAACACAGAATTATAGAGCTTCTAAAAGCAGAAAAAAACAGTCGTCCAATCGAAGTCAGAAACGAAAACGTGATGAATGTGAGAAGGGAAACAGTTCCAAATCGGCCATTCTCAAAGATGTCATTATGTTACCATCGCCTGACATAAAGGTCGTGCCTCGGGGTTGGAAAAGAGAAAAGCTGTACGAAAAAATGTTTGCCGTTTCAGCTGTGGAAATTCACGAAAGTATGAGCGAAGGCGATGTAAGGCAAATTTTTAACAACATTTATGAAAAGAAAATCGCTGGCCTTTCAGAGCCGAAGTTCAATTTCGTCAGAGCAGTTGGCAACAAAATCATAGATCCAGGCTGCAAGTCCTATGATGGAAAGGTGATCAAGTACCTTTCAAAACAAGGGCCAATATACATCAGAGCAACACAGAACATTTCTTCAGGATTACAAATTCTAAACGAGAATGAGCACACGTCTGATGAAAGCAATAGTGATGATAATGGCGAAGAACAGTCAGTTGCAGGGCCAAGCCCACGGCCCCATGATGAAGCACACACCGAAGGTGACGGGATTGAAGAAGCTGATGAAAATAGTGATGATGATGTGCTGTTTGTCTCAGCATTTGGATCCAATGATGATGCACCTGTGCTAATGAATGAAACCTTCCCTGTCACATTGGTTAACTGCCCAACATGCACCATGTCCTTTCCTTCGGATGAAATTGCTGAGCATGCAGATAGGTGTGCAGATGCTGCTGAAGGGCTCTTGCAAAGCCAAGTAACATATGGAAGCCTTATGATGCAGGAGATGGATATACCTGAAGTAGTTTTTGAATCATCTTCTAATGATGGAAGTGCAACAACCATTGTGGAATGCCTGGCTACTCTGAGAAGAAATGTCAAGGAAGAAATTACAAAAATTTATGTGAGAAGAAAGCGATTATGGGAGGACTTTGTACATGTCACTAAAAGTTGTAAATGGTTTCAGCCCCAAAACAACATCAAAGTTATC